GAACCAGAGATTTGTGCAAGAGCGGTTAGGGGTTGGATACAGAAACCTATGACTTGAATTCATGAGATCAGGGTCATTGGTGATCGAGGAAAGGTGCAGGATGGGATAATGCATGTGGTATATGTCTGAGAAAAGGATGGGTGTCTCCGCGGTAGGAGGTCAATGGTCAGGAATCTGGTGGTGGCCAGAGTCGTTTCAAGTGGAAGACTTGTAATGATGGTATGGGCAGTTGAGAACTTCTAGGTTGGAATATGGGTGGAGGATTGTTGAGTAGCCAACTCCCAGGCTGGGATGTGTATTCTTGCTTGGATTTTGAGAAGTAGTGGAAAGGATTTCGAAGGATCATCAGTGTGTTCTGAAGGGTTAGTGCCTTCCTTGTATTCCAATTGAGTGCTTGGATGCACTGACTTACGCATTGAGTAAAATAGGAAATTATTATGGGATTCAGAGGAAATGTATTGATGTATGTGTATGGTGTTGGGAATGCGGGAATTAGTGGTAGGGGCAGGACATTGTGGTGCTCTGTTATGGTGTTCTGTGATTTCCGCATTTAGCGTCCCGATTTCGGAGTTATTTAGAGTCTTGGGTTTAAGTCGACGAGTTATGTATCATGTATCAATGGTTCCAGTGGGAGCCCTTCGTGTATTGTCATCAAGAGGGACTATTTAAGGAAGTGGATCTCCGTAGAGGTAAGTTCTGTGTTATGGCGGTTTCCGCTAGAGTCTGTAATGCATATCAGGGCAAGTGTGTGTGTAACTACCTATGATAGTCTTCGGTGCAGGAGTAGTGAGCTTAGTGTGGCATTGTAATGAGAATGAGAGTATAGGGTGAAGCTATGGGGAGCCGTAGTATTCACCATTCAGAGGGAGTTGTGATGCTACAGGGAGCAGTAGTACTCACACGTGAGAGAGAGAGAGAGAGTAGTGATGCTACGAGGAGCCGTAGTATTCACTAGTCAGAGCGTGTTGTGATGCTACGGGGGAGCCGTAGTACTCACAAGTCAGAGGGAGGGAGTCTTGGTACTACGGGGAGCCGTAGTACTCACTAGTTAGTTGGTGTTGTGATACTACGGGGAGCCGTATTATCACTAGTCATAGGCTGTCATAATGTTGTGGGAAGCCATAGTGCCCACTAGTTGGCTAGAGATTATGATGATGGAGTGTTCTCCAATGAGTGCATGATGCAGAAAAGTTTTAGGCTTGAGTAGCCCTAGTGTTGAGTTTATGGAGCCAGTGGTAAAATCGAGGCGAGACTGGAGTCTCCGTCTCTGTCGGGAAGGGTCAGCAAGGCACGCAGGAGAATATGCGCAGTAGACGCCAGAGGTCAGAGCTGAGTCGATCTTCGGTTGGATTGTACTTTATGGGAAAAAGGGAATTTCATGACTTGCGTGTTGTTGGGCCATGATGGTAGTCATGGGGAGGAAGTTAGTGAGATATTTTGGATCATGTTATGTGTGACCCTTGGGGGTTCAGCTGTGGGGCCAACAGATGACCTGGTGATCAGTATCGAAGAAGAATATGAGAAATGAGCTAGAGTTTGCCATAGGTTATGTCTGTGGACACTTCGGAATGAGCGAACGATTCAGACGCTCGAGGATATGCTTCAGGCATGTGTATTAGATTTCGGGAGGGGAAATTGTGGCCTGTAATTGCTCTTGGCGGAGTTTTCCTACAACAACAGCCATCATTAGTGCATCGGTATGCCACCCTTTGTGCTGTTGTAGGGAAGGAGGTATCGGACCCCATTTGCTGGGGAGAGGTAGGGCAACGTGCAATGGGAAGTACAGAGATCGTGCTTCAGACGTCAAAGTAGGTATAACAGGTCAAGCAGAGGTTGTTGACCGCTCAGAGTCGCTAGAAGAGTTATGCGAACAGGCGTCGATCCTAGCTTGAGTTCCAAGTCGGCGACTTTGTGCTCCTGAAGGTCTCTCCTTGGAAAGGAGTGATTCGATTCAGGAAGAGGGGCAAGTTGGGTCCCCCGATCTATTAGTCCATTCCGAGTGGTCGCGAGGGTAGGCAGGGTAGCCTATCGTTTGGAATTGCCAGCAGAGTTGGGGCAGATTCACGACACTTTCCACGTGTCGCAATTACGGAAGTGTATAGCTGACGAGTCGATGGTAGTGCCATTAGAGGACATTCAGGTGGATGCGAGCCTGAACTACGCAAAGAGACCAGTCGCAATTGTGGACCGGAAGGTCAAGGTTTGGAGGAGCAAGGAGGTACCCTTGGTTTTGGTTCAGTGGCAACATCGGAAGGGGTCCGAGATGACTTGGGAACCATAGCGTGAGATGCATGAGCAGCATCCGGAGTTATTTGCAGAGCGAGACTTCGAGGGCGAAGTCTAGTTCTAGTGGGGGAGAATTGTAACAACCCAGGTTCCCAGGTATTAGTTATTTTGTATTTTGTTGGTGATTTATGAGGAGACTCGGCGATTTGGAGTCCAAACTCGCCGAGTATGATCGCGGTTATGGGCGTGGGTTTGCGTCCAGACTCGGCGAGTCCATGCTGTATAGTGAAACCCTAATTTCCAGGGTATGAGACTTATTTAAAGGGGCTTATGGCCGTCATTTGCGGCCACCAACCCCAGAGAGACAACCCTAAAGAGTCTTTGAGCGTTTTGTGAGAGAGAAGAGTAAGATCCTTGATTATTTGTGGGTGTTTTGCTTATAGAAGAGGACCAAGGCAAGAGGAGACCAAAGAAGGTGCTAATCCAGTGATTTCTGAGCTCAGAGACTTCATTTGAGGTAATCATTCGTTCCTTTCTCAGTCCTTGGTGTAAATCTTAGAGATAGGGTTTCTTTGTGGCCTTTTTGGAAGGATCCATGGAGTAAATGGCCTCTTCTCGTGTTGATGCTTTAGATCTAGACCCAAAGAGGTCCAGAGACCCTTTTCCCTCAAGCTTTATGAGTGTTAATGGAGTCCATAAGCTTAGAGTAGCATTCTAGAGACCATATCTTCAAATAAGGCCTTTGAACCTTTTCATGAGCACCAAGATAGTAACTTTACATGATGTATGAGCTTGGAAGGACTGGATCTATGAGTTATTGGAACGGATCTGACCTCAGGAGTGAGTTTGAGTTTATGCATGGCATAGACTCGTCGAGTCTGAAGAACAGACTCAGCGAGTAGCATGAAGATTGTCCATAACCACTCAGCGAATGGTCTTTCCGAGCTAAGGGGTTGACTCAGTGAGTCAGGAAGAGTCAGAGAGGGTTGACGGGTGGGCTGAGTCAAGCTGGAACTCGCCGAGTTGTTCTTGAGACTCGGCGAGTTGAGTCGTAGTGGCCCCGCGACTCATGCCAGGTGGAACCCGTCGAGTTAGGAAAACACTCGACGTGTCGAGAGAGGATATCAAAGAGTTAGTGGACATGTGTGTACTCGCCGAGTCACCGGAGTGCACTCGGCGGGTTGGGTCAAAGTTTGACCGTTAACTTTTGTTGACTTTTAGGGTTGGTCAACAATGTGGCCTTTGGGCCAAGAAGGGGGTAAAATGGCCTTTTACCCTTGAGAGGATGCCAAGAGAGGATAGAGTCTAGTCTCGAGAGTTATGTTCATGAGAGCATTTGCCTTATGTGATAGATGGTGGCGAGTTCGAGATGCAAGCGTGAGGATATCTACTTCATGCTTGCCAGGTGAGTCTTCTCACTATTCTTTACCTTAAGTAGGTAACCATAGTTATGTGACAGAGTATTTGTATGCTATGTATGTAATGAGTTGTACTGCATTATTTCTATGTGATTTATGTTGTGCATGTTTACAAAGTTAGAACCGGAAGGTTCCCAGAGTTAGAACCTGAGGGTTCACAGAGTTTGGGTGCACGGACCCACAGAGTTATAGCCTCAAGTGGCTAATATGTGTTTTGTGTGGTATTTTGGGGAACTCACTAAGCTTCGTGCTTACAGTGTTTTGTGTTATGTGTTTCAGGTTTCTTTCAGGATCACAGAAAGGCACCGGCTTGATTGTACACAACAGCGAAAGAGTCATATTTTGAGGATCCTGGTTTATTATGCAAGTGAAAACGGAGTTATGTTTTGTAATTTGATTATGAATGAGATTTTAAGAAAAGTGTTTTTAAAAGTTAAACCATTATGTTTAAATGAAAATTTGTTTTGAAATTTACGGCGTTACACATGCGGCACACTTCATGCCCATCATAGACACGACTCATGGCTCCATCCAAGAAATGCCACGCGTAACACTTATGATGATCCGTCTCTCTCCTATCTCGACGAATCTGGGTGTCAGACGTTCGCATTGAGCATGGCGTGCATCGCTAAATTTTCTGTAAAAAAATCATATCTTCCTTATATGAATCTTGTTTCTTACCATCTTTATATATTTGTCTAGCTCCTTACTAGTACTACAATTTTCCTTAAGGTTGTGTTGTCAAAATTTAACTTTTATTTTTAACCCGTATTTTATATTTTTCCAAAAATCATATATTCTTTATACTGACTTTGTTTTTTACCCTTTTCTTTTTAAAGCTCTTATTTATCGGAGTACTACGATTTTCCTTTTAAACAACATTAGCCAAAACTCACAGTTGATTTTTATTTCTTTACGAAATCATAACTCCTCCAATCGGAGTCATGTTTTTATAAAGTTTACTTCATTGGGATCACAGTATTTGTAGTTCTTGTAAATCAAGTAAACAAAATGAAATTAGAGTGTGAGTTGAATCTAGAACACAAGTTGTAAATAAAATCTATTTGGCTGAATTAATACTTATGAAAGATATAAGAGTGTTGTAGAGTAAAGAACATGAATTTCCAAAAGTTACTCTATCTCTAGCACATATCTCTATTTATAGGAAAAACAGAAGTAAGCAAAAAGTACATCAGGGTGTAAACATGGAAACGTTGAATCTAAAACAACCCTACCAAAATACATACATTTGAATCTAACATACAGACTTTGAATCCTAACAAGCTACAAATGACTTCAACACCCCACAAGTACATTTGAACTCAACATTATTCCCCTTTGTGAGAAATGTTGAACTTAATTCATTAACAAATTTGTAGCTTGATGAAGTACTCTTCGAATCTCCATGTGCCAACCGATTGTTATTCGAATCTCTGTTTTATCTCCTTCTATATTTCTTTTGCAGTTATGTATACGAACAAGAAGATTCGTGTACTGAGAATTCGCATACTTTTCCACATCACAAACTTGGAATAAGAACATTGTAATCTTATCCTTCTGATTCTTCCAAACGAACACAACACCCAAAAGTTTAACACATATTTCTCCATTTTCGAACTTCTTCAAGCTTGTTTGACCTTTTAGCAATGATTGTGGCACAATAACTTGTCTACCCATTTCTAAGGTAAGTTCCAAATTGGTCATAGCAAGACAATCGTAATAATTGTCTATAAAAAAGCTTGATATGTGCAAACCCAATTAGTAATTCTTCTTTGTTGGTCAATTGAAGCTTCGATTAATCAAAGGAAAATCGGCCACTAAGAAGTCATGTAACACCCGTGTTTCTGAGTTAAGCATTAATTATGATGTAATAGCCTAGATCAACTACTGTAACGCGTTTTGAAGTAATGAGAATGAACTATGTGCATTTATGTACCTTATATTTAATTATGATGACATAAAAATTAAGGATAAAAATAAGCATCAAAAGTAAAATGTTAGATAAACCCGATATCTATTAAGAAAGTTGTAGTGGTCGTAACAAGGATTTTGGAGATATAAAGAACGCCGAAATCCGAGTTATAACGAAGAAGTTATGACCTGTCGAAGTTTCGCGACATAACCGGCATGACGTTGTGTGACGTAAAAAGTGAGTTTACGATAAATGACTTTTAGCCTTAGTGATCTAAATAAAAGTTGTAGTATACGTTAAACCAAGAGCGTGCATAAAAAGAATGTCCAAATCTGACTTTGTATGAGGAAGTTATGAATTTTTTAAGATTTAACATAATAGTATGTAGCCCGGAATTTGAATTATAGATCGAGCGATTTTTAGCCGACACAACCTAAACGAGAATCGAAGATCTTGTCGATAGTAGTTCAATGGTAAAAAGACAGACAAAAACGGACGTCGAATGAAGAAGTTATGAATTTTTAACGGACTTTTCCTATCCCAGCCTGTTAAAAATATAACTTTAAAAATAAAGTCAAAATTAACCAACTGAGTCTAAACAAAAGCTGTAGAGCACGATCATACTTACACGTGGATATAAAGAACGTAAAAACAGAGCTTGTATGCGAAATTTATAAGTTAATGAAGTTTGAAAAACAAAATTTGGGGGAGTACGCCCAGTGTACTCGTGTACATGGTCCAGAATCGGCCACATCGCCCTATGCCTTCGCATGATGGATACGTGTTTGTAGCTGTGATGCGACCGAAGCTTGGAATCCGATCAGGTGCCACGTTCCTCCTTACACCTAGTGTAAGAGGGTACGCCTAGCATACAGAAGTACGCCCAACGTACTAAAGTTACGCCCAATGTAACAAGAGGCTTCAGCCACCTATAAAAGGGGTGCGAGGCTACCCCAAATATTTTACAAAATTTTCACTCTTACACCCTTAACCCACTCAACTTTCTGTATTACAAGTAGTGGAACAAGAGCATAGTTGGATGATGACGAGGGATTTTAGATTATAGGCCAATAGATGTAAATAAATGTTGTAAGGCATATATTGTACTATTTAGGCTTTTGATATGTATCGATGTTGACATCCAAGTTTGTAAATAAAATGAAAATACATTTCTTTAAGAAATACAGTGATAAAAAAAATTTATCATATTTTGTTTTGGGAAAAAATTCCACATCACTTTTATTTGAAAGATTACTCTGATTTTATTATAAAAGCATAAACGAAATTGGTCTTTTCTGGCCGTGAAAATGGGGATGTCACAAGTTACGTTGTTATCTCTAACCAAATGAAATCTATAATTCTGCAACAACCCTTCGAACAAAACATCTTTCGAAATATTGAGAACTTTCACTATTTTCACTAATGATCAAATATCCTCTTCTCTTTTACCAAGTACTCCATGAAACCTTAACTTCAATCTTTTTTATTCGTCCTTGTCTTCAAACTTATCCACAATCTGATACTGAGCTGAAATAAACATTGGTTCATTGATAGGAAAATCCAACTGATTGGAATTAATATTTTCAGTATCAAAGCTCTTTATAGGAATCTACTCAAAGTCATGCATGATCCCATTGAAAACTATACCTTCAATAGTTGGATCCCATTGAAAAACAAAGGTGATCCAACAAAGCTCTTGCACCTTAGCAAACACCTTAGTATCAGACTCTATCTTCGAATCAACCTTAGTGATTGAAGAATTGAAAAGCTCAACAACCTTCGTAACTACATCAGCATTACATTAAACTCAGAATGAAGGTTTGAGTAATTCTGATCAAGTTTAGCTATTTCTTCGACATGTCCGTTTTGATTGCCTTGATTTGGAGATTGATAGCATTTTCAAATTTTTGAACCTCTTCGACGAACAGAATATGATGTTCTTCAGCAACTACTCGTGGATCCTTAACTTTCGATTGAAAATTATTAGCATGATGCTTTAATAATGCTTCATGTTGTGATTTAATCTGCTCCATTAACATTCTCAACTGATTTTCTTGGGCTCTTGAAAGAACATCAACTTCGATTTCAGTCACAACATTTCTACTCTCAGAGTCAGCTTGAAGTTGGATTAAGGAATTCAACTTATGATTCAAGATCTTGAACTACTTTTCTTGCATAAGCATATGATCAAGAAAGTTATCCTACTCAAGATTAAATGGGATATCAGCAAATGATACCGTAATGTCATCATCACCTTGATCAACCTCTGGAGTGGATTTTGTACATTTGGTTGATTGTCAAGGAAAAATCAAAGTGATAGGTTGATTGAGAATGTTGTGATAAGTGTTGGATTAGTGTCTAAGTCCATAACTATAACTGGTATGTACTTGACCCGACTCGACATGGTCTATTTGGGTTGCATGGCATCGGAACATTTGGATAGACCGTTTGTGAGAAAAAGACATTTGTGACATTAATATATTATAAGTTCTAATATATTAATATGAAATAATGTTATTTAATTAGTATTGATCAAGAATTAATTTGGACTTAATTTAGTGATCAAAAGAAACTAATTAAATATATGGGGATTGATTGTGTAAATCGTTCATTCTTATATATGTGGGCTTAGGATCCATGATTCCTTATGTTAGGTTTAACCCATGTGGTGACCCATGGATACTCCATGGAGGTTAAAACCCATGGAGCATAAGGAATGGGTAAAGTCATGGGTTACATGGTGTAACCCTAATGTGCACACTATATAAGGACCCCTTTAGTTCAAGAAATTGGAATAGTACATAATATGGAGGGCGAGACAATTTCCATAGTCTTATGTCTTCTTCTCATGGTTATTCCAACTGTTGATGATGTTGTGTGAACCATTTGAGGTGTCACACTTGGGGAACTAGGCTCTCGAACTTCATGGAGTCAAGTCACATCAAGAGGTATGTATTCTAACTTGTTATATTACCCAAGTATTAAATTGTATGCTAGATAGGGTAATACCTTGGAATATTCATATTTGCATGTATAAAAGAGAAAACATAGATCCAAGGTATTTAGGGTTGCATGTACACATAGGAGTGTTAGAATGCTCAATCCCCAACAATAAGTGGGTGAAGTTTTGGAAGTTGGTAATGAAGTGGGTGTATGTATAACGAATGGTGGTAAGGAAGTAGAAGTGTCTATGATAGTTGTTTCGATGGTTAAGGATAAGATAAGAGAAACAGGAACAGTTGAAGTTAAAACATGTGAAGTACCTTGGCCTTTATAGGTTGATATCCCATCACCCATGTTGACATTTATGCTCATATTAGATATGTCCACAGTGATGCCTCAAGTTCGAAACTCCAACGAAATGGATTCAGCAATCGAGACTTCAGGTGGTATGACATTGGTCTGCTCAAGGATGGATGGAGTTGAATCGAAGCCAATGTTGTCATTGCAAAGTGAAGACTGATCAATGTCATCTTTGAATTCAATCTCAAACACAACTTCATCTAATGGATCTTTCAATATCTTATGCTTCTTTTTGAGTTTCTTCACCATATAATGAGCTCTTTGTTTCTTGGAAGCCAGAGAAACTAGAGTTGGGATTTTGCAAATAACCACCCTCTTTCGACTTAATTGTGTTTGTGAATCCTCTTCGATTTATAAACAAAAGCCCCTTTAGGTGATGAAAGTGACTTCTCAGGAACATCTTTAATAATAAACCTCGTTTAAAAACACCAGTTTTCGATGGCACCACTTCTTTTTGAATATCCTGCACAATGGGTTCTTAAACAGGCTTCGTTACTTCCTTTCTAACTGTCTCAGGAATAGATTTAGGGTTTTCAGGCTTTGAAGATTTCTTGGAACTTTTGCCATGTTTTGAATTTCCTTCATTTCCATTTGGTAACAACACCGCTATTTCGATAGTAGGGTTGCTATAATAAGATAAGAAACAAGAACAGGGTTCGTTGGTGTGACAACCGTCAAATTTCGGTCAAGTCAAAGTCAACTAAAGTCAACAAATCAAACCGTTTGACTCAATTTGCCCATGGGTACTAGAATTTACATTATGAAACTTTTACACAACTCTCTATTCTAATGAGAGATCATAAAGCAAAAAGTGTGAACATCTAGATCTCCTTAACCTAAAACTGTGGTACGTGGGGAGCCAAACCAATAAAACAATGTTGCATACTCATCGGGAGTGTGTAAGATCCTTAAACAAGGCTTAACAGGGTTTACGAACCATGCATTGCGATGTCGGACACTCACAATTGTCACACATGGAACCTCTCTCAATCGTTTTCACTCTATCTCTCTCTATGTCAAATCTCTCCAAGTATGTGAAATCTCTCTCAAATATCTCTTTGTATGAGAAATCTCTCCAAGAATGTCAAATCTCTCCCAAATCTCTCCAAGTATGTGAAACCTCTCTTAAATATCTCTTTGTATGAGAAATCTCTCCAAGAATATCAAATCTCTCTCAAATCTCTCCAAGTATGTGAAATCTCTCTCAAATATCTCTTTGTATGAGAAATCTCTCCAAGAATGTCAAATCTCTCCCAAATCTCTCCAAGTATGTGAAACCTCTCTCAAATATCTCTTTGTATGAGAGATCTCTCCAAGAATGTCAAATCTCTCCCAAATCTCTCCAAGTATGAGAAATCTCTCCCAAATCTCTCTCAAAAGTTTCCCGTAACTTTTTAGAATCATTCGGGTCATTTCGACCCTTAACCGGGTCAAAAACGGCTTAAAACGGTGTAAAAACGAGAAAAATGGACCTTAGGAATCGAAACCT